TTTTCACACATCCAAACACAAACAAAAAAAAACTCACAAATATAAATTTATTTTCAAATAAAACGTTTTTTTTTTTTAAATTTAAAAAAAAAAAAAAAAAAAAAAAAAAAAAACGAGAAAAAAATTCGGAGTGCGCGAGCATATCAATAATTAAACACAAAACAAAAAAAAAAAAATAATAATTACAATAAGTCACTGTTTTTAGAGAAGAGAAGAGAAAGAGTTGTAGAAAAACATTTTTTCATATTCCATGTATATCAAATATAGAATATTCATTAACAATATATACATAGAGATATATATATAGAATGATTTCTACGAGGAAAAAAAACGAAATAAAAAATTTTTATTCATGTGATACCAATGTAACATTACTGTTTGCATTTGATAAACTATCACCGCTTCTTGATGTACTTCGTGGAAGAGATAACGTTGTATGATGTGTTTGTGGTTGTTGTTGTTCATAAAGAAAATTTGATGATGATGTTGTGGGATTTTTACGAAGTGATTGTGGTTTAATTGATTGACTAAAATGTTAAGAACAACATATATCTATAATCGTTTGTAAGTAAACAAAGATTTTATCCTCTATTGTATTGATGTTTATCTCTTGTGCATAATGAAATAATAGTAGAAAATTAGTCATCAAATCGAAAAGAATATTATAAAAATTAAACTAGACAATTCTCATACAAAGAATCTTTTAAGAGATAAAAAAACAAAAAAAATAGAGAAATTTTTTTTGTTTCAACTTACCTTTGAGGTGTTATTGGTGTTTTATTAATATTTTCTTCTAATTTTTGTTGATAAATTCCTTTCCATTGATGTGCTAATAATTGATAGAGCATATCCAAAGTATCTATATCCGATTTTAAATCATTTTTATTATTATCTTGTTGTAATAATTGATTACTCGTTGTTGTTAAATTATTTACACTATCTACTGTTGTTGATGAATTTGATCCATTTATGTGAAAAGTAAATAGAAATGTTAGAAAATGTAGAAATAAACTGTTCAAATGTGGATGTAAATGTATTGAAACACAATCACGATAATGAGATGAATATAAATGTGCAACACAATGAAATAAATAACGAACTATTTTACGAACATGTACATCAAAACTAATTGGAAATGATTGATCTAAAATATAAGATAAATTAATTTTAATTAAGATAAATGAAAAATGATTCAATTTTTTTTTTAATAATATTTACCTAATCTTGTTGGAAAAATTGTTTCATCATTTAATTGTCGTTGTATATACATCATTGCATAATCCATATATTGTGGTGCTGAACATTTAATTTTTTTACTACGTTCATCATACCAATAATACTGACTAAAAAAATGAGACAAATAAAAATTAAATTTATTTTTAATAGAATTAGTATGTGTATAGAAAATAAAATTAACCTGTTTTGTGGTCCAGTCATTACAGGACATGTGGATTGAGTACAATAATCAGACATTGCACCATACAATAAATTAACATGATTAAAAAATGAGACAGCTAAAAGATAAAATATTGTTGTTTTTAATAACATTCTTACTATTAAAGGGCAACAATAGAAATATGAATTTTAGTATAATTACGGCTAAAATACTCTTAACTTTGTTTAATATAATTAAACAGTTTATTTAAATAAATAGAAAAATTATTAAAAAAATTTTCTGTTTAGTGTTGTTTTTACGTCACTGTAACACACTGTACCTATTCACTTGATAATGACCATACGAATAGGTCGAAAATTCGTGTTCTAATAATTTTTCTATTTATTTAAATAAACTGCTTAATTATGTTAAACATAGTTAAGGGTATCTCAGCCACAATTACACTAAAATTCATTGTTATTTTTTGTTGTAAAGAACAGAATAAAATAGAGTAAAAAAATCTGAATCTAATTTAAAAAAAAACTATAAGATATTTTTTGAAAGATAAGTTTACATCAGTATATAGAAAAATATTTTCTCTACTATTATGTCTCATTTTTCCGATCCAAAAATGGCTAAAAGATTCTAAAAAAAGTAGAATAAAAGTTTAAATAGAAATAGATGCTTCTTTTTTATTTCAAAGTGCTTGCTATCGACATATGTCTAATTTTTTTTCAATAATTTAAAGAATAATATGTAAATTTTTAAAAGAAAAATTGTTTTTTTTTTTTATCGATAATGATAAATGGTTACACTTACTATTCGATGCAATCCATTCATTTCTATCTACTCCAGCTGGTTGCCTAATTAATTCAGCAATATTTGATTCTGATACTGCTCTGGTAAATACAGCATATTCTGGACGTAAATATGGTAACAAATTTTGACTATTTATAGTTGAATTATGTTGATTTGATGCCGCAGCTGTTGATCTATCATTATCTTCTCCTCCAATAGGTGGTGAAGATTCTTTTGCATCTTTTCGACGCGTTTTCCTAAAATAAATCAAAAAAAAAAAGAAAATAAAAAAGAAAGTTAATTTTACATACAACCCCATAGAATGTAGGGGAAAAAAAACATATATATATATTTATATATTATTTTTTAGTTGTTGTTTTTTTTTACGCAATAATTGAGCCAATATGTATGGATAAAGCAGCGCGCATTACATATCTAGTTTTTATGTTCAATAAACTACTATACATACAAAAATTTTTTATCTCAATATTTTTTTATTGTTTAAGTCATGGTCGATTGATTATATACGTAATAGATGAAACATGTTTTCTGTTCAATACGTTATAAGAAAAGAAATGAATGCAAAAAAAAGGAAAAGAAGAAAAGAAAAATTATAATAGTTTGTTCAATTGATTATGATAAATATACGCTAACTTGTCAAATGAATAACTAATTAAATTTAAGAAACTATGTCAATAAACAAATAAAAAATAAAAAAAACAGTGCAAATAATTTTCTAATTATATTCTTCTATATCTTAAAAATACATAGAAAATTTTATAATTTTTTTTTTCTTTTTAAAAGAAAATAATGTTTTGTTTTTTTTTTGTTTAGACTAACATTTGAATAATAAAATTAAAAATGAGATTGACAAGCCTATATTTTCTACTAGATACGTATAGATATTTCATTTTAATATATTTTATTTATTTGATATTGAAAATGACATTTTTTATGTAATCAAAATATTATTTTTTTAATAAAGATTATCCAAAATGTTCAATATAACTGTCAATCTCATTTTATTATTAATATTTCTTTGCTCTATTTTGTCAATAGATTTTTTAATTACAATTATTTATCTTGTTTCTCATTATATTTGAAAAAGTTTAAGTTTTTTTTTTTCTATTTTATATAAATGTTTAAGATATTAGAATACAAAACAATTTGCTATATTATTAGAAAAACGATTCGAAATATTAGACTATCTCTGTATCAAGAATGAGTGAGTAAATACTAATTCAATATTCTTCTTATCAATTGTTCAATAGAATTTAATAATAATAAAAATGTATGATTTACATGTAGTATTTTAGACGATTATCCATCCTATCATTCATATGTTATTTCTAATCCCATGTCGTCTGAGTTAAAAATTTTCCCTTATTTCTTACCGTTTTTGTATTTGTCGAAATTTTCTAAATGGACTTGGACACATATTCAATGAATTTCGAAGAACATGAAGATAGGAACGATGACGGATTAAAATAACCATCTTTTTTTTTATTTTTATTTTTATACTTCTTATTATACTCTTACTAATAGAAAGATACTAAACCCAAAATAGGTCGTATAACGGACTATACCTATAAAAAATTTTCTCTTCTTTGACATATTTTTTTTTTATATTGATTATTGATAAAGCGAGCAGGATAGATGACACAATGAATGTGCATACACGCATACAAATGAAGTAGAATAAGTGTCCAGCGCATCTTCACTTATTTGATATGTACACATGTATATACATATACACTTCAAATGACAAATTATGACATAAAATTGTCATCGATATGTTTCGCTTCAATAAATATTTCTCTAATGATCAAATATACTAACCTCCATAGTGCTGTTAATATCAATGTTATTGTTCCTGAACTAGTATTACTATTATTAGATGATGTAGACATTGACGAAGTAACAATACCAAAAGACAACATATTTGTGATCATAATTTAGATGGAAAAGAATATTTTAAAATTTTTGATAAAAAATGCACTGTATACAATGATGATGTTCAAAATATAAAAGTATTCAAATAGAAAAAAAAAAAGAAAAGAAAAGAATAATAGTCATCGCTTACATTGCTATGGCGTAATTTCTCACCTTTAACAATGATGAATGACCAATACTCACCTGTGTGGAAAATAATAGAGAAATACAAAAATTATATTCATATAAAAGACGAAAAAAAATCGAGGTTCTACTTATACAAAACCACAACTATAGTGGTGGCGGGTAAGTGAAACTAAAGATTCAGACAAAAAAAAATTTTCCATTGAAAAATATCTCATTAAACAAAATGTTTAAAAAATGTTCAATGTTTGTTCTTATTTGACCTTCGATTAACGTTATCCTTACTCTGAAGTAAAAAAATGGCACTAAAAACTTCTTGACAACAAACACACACACATATCAATGTTAAGAAAAAAATAAAGTTCATTTAGAGTTGTGGAAAAGTGTTTATTTCGTATTTAGCATACTGGATAATCCAGAAGATTTTCTATTTTTGGCGAAGGATACTGCCAAAAATTTAAGAATAAAATGGCAAAAAAAAATTTCCATAGGAAAATACTATTCGTTTCAAAATTGTTTTTAAACTTTTTGACAAATACGTCTCACTAAAAATAAAAAATCTTCAAGATTAACGCGCATGTGCTGAAAACGAAAAGGCGCACTTTTTCACAACTCTAAATGAACTTTATTTTTCTGGCAGTGATCTGATAACGAACTTAGAGATTTTGTTAAATTTTATTTCAAAGTATCAGTAGATTCTTTTGCTATAGTATAACAAAAGTACAAAATAATTTTATTACGTGTCGATGAATCTAATCTAATCGACATGATAATAAAACTCGAGTGAAAAATTACTCGTTTTCAGCTCATAAATCATATGCTAGACTCTATAAGAACATTAACTATAAGAAAAGAGTAAGACATACGATAATAGAGAGTGCCTCTACTCAGAATTTTAATTTTTAAAAGTCTTTCTATACCTTAAAAAGACGTTCATGCTTGTTTGTTTATTTATTTACTTTAATTTTTTTTACTTATGTACAATATGTATTTGTTGCTTTGTCGAATAGATATTTTGAATGTTGTTTCATAATGTGACATGGTAGAACGTGCTGTTTATACTTTGCAATTTTTAAGCATACAAAAGGATTTATTCACGTAAAATATAAATAAAGAACGAAAAGAGAATTTAACCTGTTTTTTTCACTCTTTTGTGTTTCAGACAAAAAAAGAGAGACATTTATCTACTATCCGAACGACATAAAAAAGAACATTAAAAAACAAGATCTAGGAGAAGACTACCCTGTCTCGTTGTGTAAAACAAAAAAAAAAAATGAGATATTTTACGAATAAAAATAAAATATACTTTATACTTTTCTGCAATATAATAAAGTATTAAACTAAGGTGAATGTTCATAAATCAGCGATTAACAAAAGAGAAAAAATTAAATATATATTTGACACTTATATTTACGTTTAATTCCACGATCCGACCACTTATAGAGTGACATTTAATGAAAGGGCATTTCTTCTTCTTGTTATCGACAAAATTTTCCAACTAAACCCACATGTCGTTAAGAAAATAAAATTCAATTGTCAAACAAATGGACGCTTTAAGAATTTGTTTTTACACTTTTAGATAGAATATCATTCTCAGTCAATAAGCTATAGCTCTTGTGAGGTAAAAAAAGTAAAATTTCATTCATAATTCAAGTAGAAATTATATAAAGTTTAAACATATTAATAATAGTTGTTTTTACGTGGTAGAATATAGATTGCAAATTTGCTCGTTATTTTCCAGAAAAAGTTTTATATGAATTTTGGCTCCATTTTATGTTCTACTATTGTCCGTTGAGATACTTCAAACAGAGTGTTTTAATCGAATAGTCAAAGGAGATGTGAAACAACAGAATGTCGAGATCAAGTGTATATTCATGAAGATGTGTATGCATTCAAATTCAAACTTTTTTTTTTAGAATTTTTTTTACAAAATAGATCGAATTATGTAAGTATAACATATCTCTTCATAAAACATTTTAAGAAGATACTGCAATGTGTTTTGTGAATGATTGAAGGTCAAAGAGCACAGCTGACAGTCTTCTGTCAAGGTAAGAAGCTGGATGAAAGAGTGTAAGGATAATTTCTTTAGTGTAAGTTAAAAAGACGCTTAAACTTTGTACACTATTCTTTGTAGTCATGACGCATGGTGTAAATGATATAATGAACGAACAAATTGGCTAGTAAGACTAGTGCCTGTTGCTGACATAATATATTGATAATCTTTTAAGTTTTAGAAATATTGTATTACTTGAGATGTTAACGTTAAACTTTCGGTAATGTAGCTGTCTCAAGAAAAAAAAGGAGTTCTTTATATGTATATTATTAGAATCATGAAGTTTAGTATCATAAAATAATTGCGCACAAGAGACAAAGAATACAAATTTAAAGTGTCTGAATGTGTATGCTAAAAGATTCGTATACTTTGTACAGAAGAAACCAGGAAAAAGTGACTACAAATAGATTATCAAAATTGTTATACTGATGAATTTATCTAAAAATTAACATCTAAAGTTATATAATTGTGTAGAAAAAGTGTATCAGAAGAAATAATAGTTGGTTTAGAAAAAAAATTTCATATTTCTGTTGTTGTTGTTTTTTGTTCTATTACTTTTTTTTTTTTTCTAGATTACATAATTCATGGAAGAGAAAGAAGACAAAACAGGTTATATCGTCTATATAATGTGATATTTTATTTCTTTGTTTATTTGAAGTTATAAAATATTATTTCATTTAAAAAAATTAAAATTTTTTTTTGTTGTTTCTTTTTCTAATATACTTAGCTGTAATCTACTTCATTTAATTTTAATTTAATTTACTACTAACTTACTTGCTATTTACTATTTTTAGTTCAATTGGTTTAACTAAATTTTTTTGAGATGATGAATTACTTCTCTTTGTACATTGACATATTGAGGTCATCAAGGGCATCATTACTTTCTCAAATTACTTTGTAAAAAAAAATAAATAAAAAACATAATTAAATTTTAACTATAAATTATTGGAATAAACGATTATATAGTGGAATATTTTGAGATAAGAAGAAGAAGAAAAAACCCAAGAAAGAAAAAAAACTAGAACATACGGTGACTCAGATAAATACATCACCTCATACTCATATTCACTGATACTTCAACATTAACAAGAGAAGAGAAAGAAAAAAAGTACCATAGTTGAAATTTATGCAATTTATTTTTTTGACTTTTTTTTTTGTTAAAATTTATAGTTATATTTGTACTTCACAAACAACATAGGAATAAGAAGAAGAAGAAGAAAAAAAAAAACTAGAAAGGAACTCCTTTATATACTCACCAAAAGTAATATATCCAGTGAAAGCTTCTGTTTTTTTTTTTTCTTCTATTTGAGTATATTGACGGGTGTACAATGTATTTGTACAAAGAATAAAACAGTAAAAATATGAAAGAGAGAGTGAGAGAGAAAACAATAAATAAAAATACTCTTTCTAATGTTAAGTGTAGTATAACATATGAATTTCAAGACTATTATAGTTGGGTTATTCTGAACTGTGAAAATAATCTACTATTTACTGAAACGATGTCTATGTGTGAGTTATTCTGATTAATAGCAGCAATAACAACAATAAAAAAAAAAAAAGATATGAAAATGAAAAAATAAAAAGATGTCAAAAAAGTCAAGAAAGAGAGAGATAGAGAGAGAGATCAATTCTAAAATTTTGTGATAGCATAATGCAAACACAGTTATTTTTAATTATTTATTATTTTGTTATTCTTCTTTAATGATGTGATTATTTTTTAACTATCATTCCATCTGATTTTTCTGTTAAGGTACTCATAAGTTTAATCATGATTCTTAACATAGCATCGCTTTTTTTTTTTTTTTTTTATATTTTATACGTGATTGTTGTCTCGTGACGAACTGTAAACATATGTTATTATTCCCGTAAGACAAAAGAAAAAAGAAAAAAAAAAGAAGAAAACTGGATAAGAATAGAATTGATCTTCAAAGACAAATAGAAAAAAAAAAAAAGAATACACAATATTAGCAAAATCAGGCGAACAGAAAATTGTTTCATTTATGACATTATCGATAATACAAAACAAAATAAAAAGAGGAAATACGATCGATATTTACGTATATTCTAGTATTCGTAGAAAAAATTGACAAATGTATTGATAGTATTTTATTAATTAATGTCGATATTATCGTATTTCTACACTTTAAATGATACTTCTAGGATATGGGAGTATAAAAGTTTTTAAAAAAAAAATAGGATAAAAATATCCATTTGAAAAATGATAAACAAAAGTTTCGTTTTACTTATTATATTTAAATACACATTTCTATCTCATATCCTCCTCGTACAAGAGTATAGAAGTGTACCGAATCATTTCTTCCTTGTTTCTTTCTTTTTTAAATAAAAAAGATCATATCAAACTTTACACTTGATCAACAAATATTTTTTGTTAGCTCAAAGCTACAAAAAACAACATACATCAAAAGATGAGTCATAATTCGAAAATTGTCGTACTTATTCTACCTATCATTGTTTATTTTAGTCTGAGATTGTCTAGACCACTGATGATTAAACAGAAGGATTTTAATTGATTAATAAACAGAAAAAAAATTAGAAAGTCAGAAGAAAAACCAAGTGATAATAAATAATGTTTGTACTTTTTTTTTTATGACAATATAATCCAAAAACTATACCATTTTAACATTTCTTTTTTTTTGTCTTCGAATGGTAAGAAATTGACAATTATTTATTTTATTTTATTTTTTCTATAATGTTTTATTCAAAGAGACAATTGTAGAAATTTTTTACTCACATACCATAATGGAAAGACAAACATAATATTCTTCGTTTTTATTTTTTTTTATCTTTTGTTGATAAATAGGCACTCTGATTTTCAATGGAATAAACGACACATAGAGATTTTTTTTCCATTTATGATTCCATTATTCGGTAACAAGAGTATATAGAGTATCGCATATGATGAATGTACAGTAAAAAAATAAAAAAATTCAATTTTTTATTTTAATCACAGAGATGAAAAACAAAGAAAAAGAATATATATATATATATATATAAATATGGACGTTAAGAAAAGGAATAATAAATAGATTTATTTATCATGCAGGTGAGTTCTGGTATGTAATGATGACAGAAGAGAGAAAATATTTTTAAATGAATCATATTTTCCCATTTTGCTCTCTTTTTTTTATATATTCTTATTCCTATATTCCGGAAATACAAACAGAAACAACTTCATCCAATATATATATATGAAATGAGAATAATATTTTCTCTTCATGTTTATCACTATAAACATCCAAAATAGAGATGTAACCTTGTTTTGCGATAATATTAAACAAATTCCATCTATTTTTCTCTCTCAAACAAGCGAACGAGCGAGCGAAAAATGAAGAAGAGACAAGATTAAAAGTGTCTCTAATATATGCATATCTGATATATGTATATATAGGACTCTCTTTTCTAAGTTGATATATTGTCACATTTTATTTATTCATTTATAAATGAAGGTTGTCTGCCCCGTCTATTTTATCGGCAACTTTTTTGTTTACTAACAGACTACAAACTGACATAAATTAATTCAACAAATTAGAGATAAGAGAGCCATTTCATTTATCCAAAAGTAAAAAAATGTGAAAGTCACGTTATATACATTTTTTTTTTAACAATTGTAAATAATTCACACAGAGATAGAACTGATAGAATCAACAATATCCATTCGAATACATGGAGTGATGGATTAGTCAATCAGTTCTATTTATATCAGTAATTATAGAGAAAACAGCGCCCATAAAGAAAATAATTGAACTTTACTCGTTTTGATATCACTTTAACAAATAAAACACCAAATGTAGAATAATGTCATTTTAATATTAACGTATTTTTAATGTGAACTCTATTTTGTATATAGGAAAATAGATAACATTTTGTTCATCTCTTATAATGTTCAAGCAGGAGTGTCTATACGTTATGATACAATTGAGAGATAATGGTTCAAATACAACAAATAAACTAGTACATCTTTAAAAACTTTTTTTAAGGCGAATTATAAGCACGTTTTTATATGAGCTAGAAAATTGAAAAAATTTGAACTTTTAAAAAACTAAATGACACGTGAGACATTATGTTTCAAACCTTTAGATGAAGATAGATGCCACTATTTTCAAGAAGAAACTTTTTCCATCAAAATGATTAGCTTCATTTCATAGTCATTTTTTATTATCAAATGATTTAAAATAAAAAGTATATTAATATGCTATCGGACAAATAAATGGCATTTGAGAAACTATTTGAGAAATATAACGAAACAATACTCAATGACAAGATTAGATATGAAATAAGAGAAATATAGTTGATCAAATTTTGAATTAGAAAATAAACTGACAACAATTCTAGTGTACAACATAGCATCTATACTTTGTTATTCAGTCACCAACTATGAGAAAATTTTGTTAAAGTTTCACAATATTGGGGTCATGCAGTTACAACATCAAATGCGTAGTCACGTGTGAAATTCTATGATTTCACAAGTGAGAATTTTCTTTTCACGTGTCTCCACAGACCATTTTACAATGTTCACGTGCCACCAGAGTTCATTTCACGATATTTATGGATGTACACACCATTTTATATACTAAAATTTTTCCATGAGGCAGGCTTGACTAAATTACACATTTTTCTGGATTTTTATCCACGCTTTACCCAGCCTGGTACCTATTTATTGAGTGTTATCAATTCTAGTACTAGTTTCAAAGAAAACCGTTTAAGTATGATATAGAAGCTCGATAAGAGTTTTGAAAATAAGTAACTTATGCGGACTTATGATTTCAAGGCTTGGTCCATTCTTAATTTTAACCTGTCTAAAAGTTTAGTTTCACGATAATATGGATAAATGTAAAACATATGAATTTGAGTATGAACTATTTTCAATTACATAAATATGGTTTTTATTTTAATTTAACTCCGAAATATTTTTATATTCCGTTAGAACGATTCTAGTGTTAAAAAAAGATGTCTACTCAATTTATTTCCTTAGCTGATTTTTTAAGATTAAACAACATCAAAGGCGACACCAAAAGTGAAAGTGAATAATCAGGGATGAATTGCAAAAAAAAAGAAGAGAAAAGTGAACGAACATTTTTTTTTTGTTAAAATAAAACGTTTATATATTCTAACATATTAATAAGTGAGAATACTAAATGTGTTATGGTCTCTTATGCCGTCTATCTCTATATAAAAGAACATTAATTTTGTCAGTGTAGCATTTCAAAAAATGAGTGAGAATATAGAAATTAAACTGATAGTCAATATGTTAAATCTACTTACGAATAAGATGATGTGAATATAAATGAAAAACTTAAAATTCCCATTGGTTATAATTTTGTATAGTGTATGTATCGATGTTGTATGTGTCAAAGGGCACTGGTTTTATTTTTATTTTTTTGAAAAAAATTCTATATATAAACAATAAGATTGAAAAACAAAAAATGGTTCTATTTAAATTTTATTCGTGATTATATGAGAAGTCGAGGGAAAGAGAATGAGTGAGAGTAAATTTGTTTTTCTACTTAGAAAAATAATAATAATAATAATAATAATAATAATGAATATGTATATTACGCGTTTCCTTTATTACTGGTACCTCTTCAAGAAAGAAAAAAGAAAATCAGCTGAGAAACACACCATCATCGTTTGACTGTTTAAAAATAGATATTTATTAGAAGAAAGACAAACGCTAAAAAGAAAAAGAAAGAAAAAAAAGAGAAAAGAATGACATTTCTTCTTCTTCTTTTTTTTTTTTCGTTTAAAGAAGAAAACAAAATAAACTGAACTAGACACTATACAGGAAGTAGAAAAGTATGAATACATTGAGGAAGAAGAAATTATCGTGTTGAATAATTACCACTTTTGCAATTTTATATTTCCGTGAGAAAAGCAAACATACAATGAACATCCTCTTTAATTGTTGTTTCCTGGTAGCAGATAAAACATTAACTGAATCAAGTGATTAATACAAATGCTATAAATTATATGTTGAGATGAAGATCGATATAAAAATTTTGATATAATTCATTATTAGTAGATATACTTTTTCGTAAAAGATCAAACAAAAATAAAAGACTGTAATCGGTTGTTTTTTTGCCTGCATTTTGTTAAAAACAGAGAAAATGAATAACGAACGACTTATTTTAATTAAAAGAATTCGTAAATAATTCGATTTATAGATAACTAATAGAGAATAATACTGTTTTGAAACGAAAAAAAAATAAAACAGGTTAAATGTCACTTAAAATTATCACTTTTTTTTTTTTTTTTTTGATGAACACAAAATAATTGAAATCATATGTTTCACCTTGTGTTTATCTCGTCCATAATCTACATAGTATCGCATTGACCTTTATATTGGTATACATACATACACGTACTTTCACTATCCATGTAGCACAACATGTCACCAGTTATATATAGTCTCAAAGAATAAAATGAGAATCTCTATTCCTATTAAGGAGAAATAGTTGAATAATTCTCTTTTACATTCAATATCTTTCTTAAATTTTATTGTGACATATTTTTTTGAAAATAAGCATTATCATTATCATCATCATCTACTCAACTTGAAGATTTTAAAATAATTTAATATTAATATTTATACTGTTAACTAATTGTTAAGACAATTGTCTATAATAGTCGATTACATATGTATATTGAAAATGCAGTTTTTTGTTTAAAAAAACATTTATAAGAAAGAGTATTTACAAATTTCTATTTAGACAGATAATATAAAACTGTTTAACATATGTCTCTTGTGATGATGGATGAATGTAAAGAACTAATTAATAGTATCGATTGTACAGTTACTATTTATATTAAATTAACCTTGATACTAGAAACAACAGTACTATTGAGTTGATTTGTGACACATTATTATCTATCTATATATATATATAATAACACCTTCAACCAATAATTATTCACGTACTAGCCACCTTTTTCTTTTACAATATACTACAGATTCACAAAATTCTATTTGATTGAGTAGAATAATGGCAAGGTTAATATTAAGAAGATTAGAACATATTAATATACGGTGACAACAAGGGCATACATACACAGAATAGAAGGTTATAATTATATATACACACACACACACACACACACACACACATACAGATAAATGAATTAGATGGCGCGTCAAGATTATAAAATAATAAAAAGTTTTACTCTCGGTAGAAAACCGTACTACATTGACACTATGCAAGGAGAATGAACCCATTATGATCGTGAATGTCTACTAAATCGGACTATCTATAGAAGTAAATATGAAAAAAACCAATGATTACTGTTTAACTTGCTCGAATAAGTTTCAATATTAAAACGACGATATTTCTAATCAAATTTTTACTGTAAGATATTCGTATGATAATAATGAATGTATTCGAAAGCATTCTATTTTCATCATAATTTTTCGCCTTTTTAACTTTCAATAGTGTATCATGTCATTAAGTAAGTCAGATTCTGGCTCAATTTCAACTGATCGCATTAGTGATCATTGCCTTGTATATGATATTTGTCTATGTCCAATTTGTCAAAATATACTATGGAAACCAGTTGCTTGTAAAGTATGTGAAAATGCCTTTTGTTCAAAATGTATTACAACTTGGTTGTACAAACAATATAGAAGTCGACCAATTTGTCCGTTTAACTGTAACTATCGTGAACGAAAATGTCCGTCAATTTTGTTAAATTTGTTGTCAAAATTAAAAGTTGATTGTCGATACAAATCAATAGGATGTGAAAATATTATATGTTATGAAGCATTGGAACGACATGAAGATGAATGCCAGTATCAAATGAAACAATGTAAAGGATGTGAAAAAAGTATATTACTTAAAGATCTTGATGATCATGAAAATGAATGTGATATGATTGATGTTATCTGCTGTAAATGTCAATATGTTTACAAACAAAAAGAAATGAAAAATCATAATCAAATTAGATGTTTAGAGAATATAATGGAGCGAAAAATGGAAGAGGCATTAAAAAAACAACAACAAATGTTTGAACAAAAACTAAAATTATTAGAAGAAAATTACAGAGAAAAATTATCACAAGATGGTCGACAAATTAATAATCATCATTCAAATTATAGTGGCGATAATCTTTGTATACACAATCGAAAACATTGTTCAGTGATTGAAATAAAACAGTCCACAATTAGACAACAAAAACGAAGGCACAATGCTCCTTTTAATCCATTCATTTTTTATAAATGATTTTTCTTGTTTTACCATCGATATTATCATTCATTCAATTTTAAATAACTTAAACTAGAGATTACGTACGTATATGTACGATTTTATTTTTAAATCGTACTTTATCCATCAATATTCTATTTACTTCTTTTTTTTTGAGTATGACCTTGATATCAATAAACAGATACCATCAAAAGGTTGCTCAATGATTATTCTTATTTTATCTATTAATCAATTGTTAACTTATTCTCAAATATTTACGTTTATTCTTCTCCATCTTCAGGTAACTATTATCACTTACCCAATAAACCAGTCAGTGATATAATCCAGCTTTAATGTTGATGATAAATTTTGTATTGTGTTAAAATTAATAATTAAATGAAAAGAATAATAACAGTATATTCGTTGTTGTTGTTGTTGTTTGATTAATAAGAATATATACAAATAGATCATAACAAACACATTCACACGAGCACACACAGAAATGAATATGACAGGAAAAACACTAACAAAAAATAGAAAAGTTCGATGTTGAATAAAGCACGAATGAAGTGAACAAACTGATCATCTGAAATATACGTAAAAATAGACTATGTTTAAAATAGATTATTTTTTTCTTTTAACTAAATTTAAAAACAGAATCAGTTTTAAATTCATCTACATAGAAAAAACCCAGCAATGAATAAATATTTAAATGAGTTACAGACTAAAATATTTTTCAAGATTCCATAATCGATTATTAGATGTGTACATATATTTCAGTATTCAAATTTTTGTCTACCTCTTAATACTAACGGTTTACTGATAGCAAAATCGTGCTCAGAAAAGAGTTAAATATTAGTGGAAGAATTAGAAAAAATAGCTACGGGATAACATCTACCCGTGTTTATTTACAAATATATTTAAAATTTTTCTTTTTCATCATCAAAGAATAGAAATAGTAACAAGAAAATAAAAAACACATTTCAAAATAGAATACGTGACGGGAGAAGTTGAATATCTCCGGAATGCAACGAGCTATCGAGATTGGGTTTTCACCATCGTGTAGCCAAGATCGGACCGTGTAACTATATATAGGAATCAAAGCTCTAACATGGGCCTAAGGTAGTATTCCAACGAGGTCTGTGGAAAATTACTCTGTCAGTGTGGGAAGATTTAATGGATTTTCCATCCAAATCAATTCATTTCGTAGCTTAAGGTCTGCTCTACAAAGCCACGTAAGCAGAGGATTTTTTCGTTCTTCTGTTCGGGTATGGGACTTCACCGATCTGGACACGTCTTCAAGCCTCTCCTGAAAATTACAGCTTCATTGATTGAGAACTGAGTGGGTTCTGGTAACCTTATTGGAAAGCAGGCGAGACCAAAAACCATCTTTTGACTCACCTTTGTCTGCCGACCTTGATCTTTCCTCAAGGATCTTCATTAATCAATTTAAAGAAGAGAAGAAACACTGCTACGGGGTTTAGCATCATGCGAATCCAAGCTGAGTCGAGTCAAAAAGCGTGATTTTCGGGTGCCCCGGTCCGTGAGGTACCCGAACGGGAGAAAGGAAAAATCCGATGCTTGCGTGGCTTTGTAGAGCAGACCCTAAGCTACGAAATGGATTGATTTGGATGGAAAATCCATTAAATCTTCCTATAATGACAGCGTGGTTTTCCACAGACCTCTCTGAAATACACCTCAGACCCCTGGGAGAACTTTGGTTTCTATATATAGTTACACGGCCCGGTCTTGGCTGCACGATGGTGAAAACCCGATCTCGATAGCTCTTTGCATTTCGGAGATATTCAACTTCTCCCGTCACGCATTCTATTTTGAAATGGATAGTGATAACAAAAAATAATGGAAATTAATCTTCATCGTCTTCTTGGTGTTGATTAAATCTTGATATCGTTGATACAATTTCAGCAAAGTTCACTGTTGCATTTAATCCTTTTTGTTCGGTTAATAATCTCTCTCGAGTTAATTCAGCTGTTGCTCGTGTCGTTCGTTTTTCTAAACGTTTCAGTTTTTTTTCAACATCACGTTTTAAATCCCAATCAGGTTTACGCGGAGCTAATGTTGTCAAATCAACATCATCAATAGGTGGTGGAACATCACTCTCTCCTGAGCCTAAATTAATATGTTCATCAATCTTAAAAAAGAAAACAAAATATGCACAAATGACATTGTTTATCGAAGAATATTCAGTATTTATTGGTCACATTCACAAGGATTTCGAATTTAATTCTCCTCACCATGGGTTTAATATCGATTAATTTTGGTTTTGGTAACAGAATGGCATTTAAGGCTTGACTCATTGGTTTATAATTTCGAAATATAGGCTTTGAGAAATTCGATTAGCTCATCATCTTCTTGATTATCTTCCTTTTCTTCGTCATCGCTCTCCTCGTTCATTACTCGTTTTAATATTTTTTTCTTCTTCCATTGTTCTAAACGTTCTTTACGTCTACGAGCTTCTTCTTGTAATTGACACGATTCAATATCGGCTAATAACATCTAGGAGCTACAAAACCAAATTAGATTAATTAGCTAAGTTCGCAGTAACATGTTCGAGATCGTTGACGTACAAGAATAATCCCTTCTTTTCTTTATCGTAATTCTAATTTGGCACTTTCTATCAGTGTTTTTAAGAGCAATTTTCGTCATAGTGGATTTTTTACGATGGAAATTTTGTAATTATATTTTGCAATTCAATCAAAATTCACATCACAATCAGAAACACGGTGAAGAAGATTACAGTGAATTTTAGTTTTTCATGGACTGATGATGTCCACAGTGCTACTGGAAACACCGCTTTCTATCCGATAGTACCACGTCTTCAGAACATATAGATGAACATCAAAATCAAAAAGAAAACGTAAACAAACACACACACAGATCTATTAGGAAATCCGATGATTCATTATTCGACTGGGATTGGTTAATAATATTAGCCAACTGTGTTGAGGAATTATTAACGCAGTTAAAAATAAATCATGTGTGACGTTATTAGAAGTGACCTGCGATAACAGGTGCTAATAGCAGATAACTTCAGCATTGGTTAAAAACTAAATGCCAAGATAAAAATGGGTTGCATCACAGTGTTTTTAATAGGAACTTTTTTTAGAGTAGAACTTTCCACTTTGCTGTTAACATCAAAGTAAGATTTTCCACTTTGGTCAGAAATGGTTAAAGTGAACAAAATGAAAATAGTATAAATTTTTTTCCAACAGCAGTTAGACGAAAATATTTTGTCGTTTCGAGAGTTTCGTTTTGTCACTTTCAGTTGAATGGATCAAAATTAACTTCTCTACCCCTCCTTAGTAATAAAAAGTTCTTATGAATGGTTGTGACATTTGTAACATTGTTGTTATATAATTAACGATTGTGACGGTAGTCCGGGTAATACAACGCGATTATAATCCTTAGTTTGACGTTCTTCTGATGATTGATCAATTACAAACTCATCTAACAGACTCATATTTTTCACACGTGGTCAATAGTGAAAGTCGCAAAATGGTGTGTGAATACACGTGAAAAGAAATTCTCGCTTATGAAATTATAGAAAGTTCACACGCGACCACGTATTTGATGTTGCAACTACACGACCCCAATGCCTTGAAACTTCTCTAAAATTTCCTCATGGATAAAACACTTCCGAAGAAACAAGAAATGCTGAAAAAACTTTACACATTTAGATAAAAGACAAATCCTTTTAGTCTAATATTCTCTTCATGTTAATTTTCAGACACTAGCGATGTCTAATCGTGATAAAAATTAGAGGGCTAAGCAGAAATTATACTGGTTCTCTCTCACATATATTTAACAAACAGAGATCGATGAATCACTTTTGCCATCTTCCCCTTCTTCTTTTCTGAAGCTGAAAAGATGGAAAAAATGAAAAAGTGAAAATTCTCAAAAGCAAAGTGGAAAACAAAGTGGGACATATTTTTCTTAGTACGGAAAACAGAGTGGAAATTCATTATTCAAAGTAGAAATCCATTTTGGTCTCGCTTGTCCGACAAATCATTACACACATTGTTCCATCGACTTCTCTTTAAAAGCTAAAATTTCATGAACCTGTATTTTGAAACAGAATATTTTAGCCTCCAAAGTATTTTGCTAAGAATGAAAGATACACCATCTTGTTCAGTTTTTTACGCTCTATTGATAGAAATACAGTCGGACAAGCGAGAAAAGCCATCTGAGTTGTAGTAAGACGCCATGTATTGCCTTTAAATTCGCTAGTTCACGCTCCGATCGCTACAAAATCTTGATGTCTTCTCGAGATTACGTTATATTCTTATTATTGAAAATAAGAATTTTCCATGATCGCGAAACAACAACTTGTCTTGTGACGGTCGCGCATAGGCATGCAACAATCCGATAGTTCGGTCACCAAATGTGTTCGGCCTGGAAACTTGATGCGGCCGAACGTGTTCGGACGAAGATTGCAAATATGATAGTTTATATTTTTCTCATCGAAGATATCGGCGAGCGCTTTGTTGAGGAACTATTGACAAAATACCATAAACCTTATAAAGATACATTCGAATTAGTACCTTTCTGTCTACTTTATTTGCACAGTGAGGAAAAGTATGTTTGCATAAAAACAACTTGTTTTTATGCAAACATACTTTTCCTCACTGTAGGAAGTTTTACGATTGATTTACTTGAAGTAAATCAATCAACAGAGGCTACATTAGTAAAAGTATGCTTTAGGTAGAGAGTAAATAAGATATAATGGAACCTAAAGGTACTTTGAATTTCCTGAACTAAAACAAACTTAAAATTGCTGCTCTAACTCAAACTTTTCTTTACATGGCTGCCTACGCCTACGGCGTAATAATGGCTGCTCCTTCGTATGGTGTTCACCAGTTTTTCTGTTTTATAGAGATTTCTTTCATGTATTTTTTCGCTCTCATGTTCTTAGCTTTGACAAACTAGTTTTTTAAATCTTTGGTAACGAACCATTCCACCAACATGTTCGGTAGCGATCCGGTAGAACACACATTCGCTCACGTTGTACTTTAGTTAGCCTATTTTCTCACTGGTTAGTTTCTTCAAAAATTTAACGTTCATTCCATTTGTCTTTAGTCCAGACTAGGCATGCCACAATCTCAAGCTAGGGCTCGCTGATCGGTAACGAACCGTTTCGTGGCCGAACATGTTCGGTGCCGATCAGCGAGCCCTGGCTTGGGATTGTTGCATATCTAGCCGCACACAAGTCATGAAACGAGCTGCATGACAGGTTTTGTCAAAAGGTTTCAAAGTTATGACACAATTGCGCTTTGCTCTTACTCTTCCGTGTGGCTCTTAAACAAGACTCGAGACCTGACTCAGACATTTCCCTAGTGAATGGACTTGAGCCAAATACTTGCGCAAGTACTTGGGTCAAGTAATGAGGACAGTACTTGGGTCAAGTAATGAGGACAGTACTTGTTTTCCAAGTAAAATGTAAGTACTTGGCTGCTACAATGCAAGTAAATTTACTTCAAAAGCTTCAGTCAAATACTTATTCCATTTATCTTCATTTTGTATCCTGTACGTATTCTACAGCCATACTCTACTTTTGTAGAGCAAATACATGCACGGCTACTAATTTGTTCAACTCAGTAGAAATATATAAGTTTATTTTATAAGTGTATAACGATTGATATTGTGGTCTTTATATACAAGCGGTCAATGCAAAAGAAAAGGATGACTTGCTTGTCCAAGTACTTAGCTGAAACAAGTCAAGTAACGATACTTGGCAAGTTCTTGATCAAGTACTTGCCAAGTGCTTAACTTGTCATGTACTTTCCAAGTGCTCATCAGGTAATCAAATAACCAAGTACATTCACTAGGGTTCTCATTCAAGCAGAAATTTGGTATTTCATGTCGCCACTCAGGGATTCGAGATACACATGTAGAAATTTCTGAAAGTCACAGCGTGAGTCACCATTTCCGCTTATACTAATGAGTAGGTAAAACGCAAGGTGTGCAAATTGGTTCTTGCAATAAAGTGGGATGGAATGTCTTCATTTTAGTTGAGATTTTTAATTATTTCATCCTCTTATTTGTGTGGCGAGAGAAAACAGAAAACGTGTTGGTTTATATCTTTATTGATTCCTAATAAAAAGGCTAGCGGTCAAATGACCATTGTAGGCCCAGCAATACAAATGGAAACAGTTAATGAATATAATGATATAATGAAGAAAACGTGTTTCTCTCAAGCGTGTGTGTCGACATATAGTCTGTATCTCATGCACGTTGTACATGATTACATTTTTTTTTCTCTTTTAACGTGTAGATTTACGTTCCATAGTAAACTGGATGATTCTTCATTCTTTTTATAGTAGAATGAAGAGCTTATAAAAAAACACACTTAAAAAGCTCTTCACTCTACTATAAAAAGAATGAAGAATAATCCAGTTTGCTATGGAACGTAAGTCTACACGTTGAAAGAGAAAAAAAAAATGTAATCATGTACAACGTGCATGAGGTACAGACTAGAGACCTGCAACCCGACCCAAACCCCGATTCGAACCCGAACCCGACCCTAGGTTCGGTTCGGGTTGAGATGCTGTCGGGTCGGGCTCGGGCCAGCATTCTGATAGCCGGATCAGGTTCGGGTTAGGTTTTCTTAACCCGTGCAGGTCTCTAGTACAGACTATATAATAGGAATTACAAACAAAAGCGGTGATTGAAATATGTGATTTTCTTTTTCAATTTCGAGATCTTCAGAGAACTCAAGAAATATCGTGTTTTCCAAATCTTGAAAAACAAAATTTCTGAAAAACTAAAATGAGCGAAAAAGTGCTTTTTTATTGAAAAATAGAAATTAAGTTCTTCATATTTCAAAGAACTTAAATGAGATCTTCAACTCGTTCTCTGAAAACACGAAGGACACGATTCTTTTACAGTGTAAACCTGAAGATATTATGTACAACTCTGATTCATGACCAAAGTCTTTTATCGGACATAGTTTCTTATTGGGATTTATAAATCCGTTAAACGATCGCGCAAGTTTTCTGTTGACATATCATCTTCATCAGCGTTGTAACCAGTTGAGAATAGAGATGTGCACGGGTACCATTTTCGTACCCGTACCCGACCCGAAAATTTTTTTTCCACCCGTACCCGACCCGACCCGACAACTTTGTACCCGTACCCGACCCGACCCGAGAACTGTGTACCCGTACCCGACCCGTAATCGACTTATACGTAAAAGATTTTTCCTTTTTGTTTTCCAGCTAAAAACTTTTGTTTTTCGGCTGAA